TGTATTTCATACTAATTTTGCATGTCCAGTGGAGCATTAATCAAAGAAATTAATAGCTAACAGAACAGAATCACCATAATACGTCAATAATATATCAATTATACATATATACACACGCACACAAATATATGTATATATTAGAATGAAGTGTAAAAGAGGAAATGAACCAGTACTAGAAACGCACCACCTCAGGTGACTCTGAGAATATATATTCGGCCAACATGTCATGAAGCTCTGGAGATCCATACTTATGTGCTCCAAATTCAGAGGACCACCTGAGGCAAAAGTTTAAAGAGTCATTTGCATACATTATAGAAAAGAAATAATCAACAAGTAGGTCCAATCTCAGCCCCAATTCACCATCATACTTTAAGACCAACCATTTGACCCATACCCTGATCCATTAACCCATATTTGTGTCAGGGTATATTACACTATTACAGTAATACAAGCCTCCAACAAATAATAATAATAATAATAATAATAATAATAATAATAATAATAATAATAATAATAAAGCAGATATTTAATATCCAGTGTATTCACTATTCTCTGTATTTCTGATGACTCTTTGTCCTCATAGATTAAATAGATAATACTTATTCATCAATGACTTTTTTTGTTGACCCATTACGGCATTACCCCCCCCCCCCCCCCCCCCCCCACACACACACACACAAAAGAAGAAGAAGAAGAAGAAGAAGCAAATTCCTTGATGTATTTTACAAGTGTTCCTGATGAACTGCCTCAAAATGTTATTGATAGGAACACTCATGTATGCACCCATAGAAAGAATTAGAGCCTTACTTGAGGGCAGCTTTCAAAAAGGATGTACAAGCCTCTACTCGTGTCTTTGCTGCAGTGAGGACTTCTGCAAGTTTTTGCATGTCATCATCATCAGCTAGCTCCAAATTTTGTGGCACTGTAATTCTAGGAAACTTCTTGTGGATTTTCCTGATGCGGTCTAAAGATTAAATATGTCATAACCAAGTGCAAAACCAAAACATTTAGAAGTTCTTCAAGAGCCACATCAATTCAATATATGATATATGTGGCTCAGACATAAATAAAAGTGACACAATATTTTGGAGAGGAGTTTGATTAAAGAAAAAGTGCAAGGCTCTTGATAGATGCACTATTTACTGTGGGTAGATTTTGCAGTTACAATTTCTGAAGAACATTTGCAGTGACAATCTTACTTCCTTAAACCGAGGGAATATATTCATGTTATAACTAATACAGGTCAGCAGAATGCAGAAAACTTCACTTTAGAGCATTCTTCTTTGTACCACTCTTTAAAAGAAGAATCCCCCATGTTAAAAAAAAATTGTTGCCTCACTTTCTTTCAGAAATTGCTGAGAGAGGGAAAACTGCAACTTGCAAGTGGACAAAAAGCCAATTTTGAATACTTTTTGACACAATGGTATATGGGGTTGGGGGGGATCATACATTGTTCTTCCCTTCTAAAGTACTAAGAGAATACCAGTTGAGACAACTAGCGCACGATAGATCAGAACAATCATATTAGACACAAATAGGAAATATAATGCATGAAAGAAGATACAAAGATTTACATTAGCTTGATTCACATAAGAATTAAGAAATACTAACCAAGAGTGTCATCATCATAAGAGAAGTTTCCTTTTACAAGGGTGTCCACAAACAAAACAGCAAGCTCGCCCCCACAGGTAATCTACATGATGAAGAAACCAAATGCAATTCATTTGAAAAGAAGTTACTTGCAGGGTAAGGATTGTTTTCATATCCTACTCGTTTTCTGATTTCTACACCTTTTCATCTAGCTTCTGCTATTCAGATGGTGAAAATCTATCTGGATATCTGTACAATGTGCTTGAGGTATAATAAGACTAATAACCATTTTATCAAGTTGATAACTCCAGTCCTCATTTATCAGTTTCATTATAGAAAATTGTTTTTCCAATCAATAAAGGCCCTTGCAGGTTACACATTCCAAAAGGCTTGTGCTAATTACTAATCAAACTGATAGCAAATATGTAAGTGAGAAAAGTATAACCTGTTCCATTTCCAATTGTGCACAGGCCCCAAACTGAAGAAAATCCAATGCATCAGAAAACCTCTCAGCGCCCACATATCTGGAACAAACCAGTAAAAGTCGGTAATTCAAGATGTGATCAATAATAGAGTATTAGAGTAAAAAGAATCTAAAGAAAGGAGAAATGACAGCAATGGAACCTGGCACTAATAGACTTAAACATCTGCTGAGCTCCATAGTAGTTTCCATCTTTCATAACCTTCTCCAACTTGTCAATATTCTACAATCTCAACCAAAAAATAAAAAATTAAAAAATTAAACTAATAGAAATGAATCTTCCCACATATCCAATCAATGGCAAAACCCATAAAATATCAAATTAAGAATGAAGAAGAAAAATGTCTAGAAAATTGAGAATGACAGTAGAGTAGGATTAGATTGGATGGGTTATTTACCTCCTGAGCAGGAGGGAGTATGGCTCGCCTGACCCTCTCTCGCAACATACTTATAGCCCGTCAGTTCACAGCTTCTCACTGGGCCTGCCACAAAACCGGCAACCTCTGAATCACAAGTTCATCAATCTATATTTATTATACTAGCATCTAATTAATGTCCAATTTAAATACCAAAGATAATGAGAAATAGAATTGGGAAATTTGAATAACGCATAAATGACAATAAGTATTGCATGTGATCAAAACCTGAGATCCGGTTGGTGTGAAAGGAGATATAGATTGTCTTAGAGGGTTTGTTGTCTCATGCTAAAGAAAGAAACAGAAGGGGAAGGGAATTAGGAAAAAATAAGAATTCAGGAAAAGAACAAAGACACAAACGAGAACAGTGAAGATGTCGAAGAGAGACACATTTGTCCTAGGGCAATTGTTTCCGTAGAGAACATGTTATGTTATAGACAAATACGGAGACCGGAGTACTATAATTTATCCCCTTTCAATTTTTTTTTATTTTTTTTTTGAAAAAGGTAAAATAGATCACCTTTTTCGAGGAAATATAGAATACCTGGAACATTTAAATAAGTTTGATAACCATCCAATTTTACATGAAAGTGTTATTAAAATTTTTACAAATTATAAATGTAATTAAGCTCATAAATTTGCTATTTTGGTGCTTTAAAACTTCAAAATTAATTTCTTAAAAAAAAAAAAAACTTCAAAATTAATTAATGAAAACAACCTCACAGTAGGGATGTCAATTGGACTAGCTCACTAGGTTTTGGGCTAATTTTACAGGGTTGTTGACCTGTTTGGGCTAAATAGTCTTTTTTGTTTAATTTTTTGATTGGATTGGCCCTAATCTTGAATTATGAATTATTGGGCTTATCCAGCATGCTAAATCAATGAACTTATAATCAAGCATTAACATAATTCACATGCAACAAATCCATAATCAACATAAAGTTTTTTAAAAAAAAAAAAAAAAAAAAAAGCACAAATCTACAATCAATATACCGAAAACATGTAGTTTTCAAATAAATAAATGCAATGCATATAATAATTCACTCAAATAAATTCGTAAACAAATAAACCTACTGCTTATATTCATAAACCAAATAAGTATCTAAAATGAAAACAAAATAAACTAACAGCTCGTTTGGTTCGCTGGAAAATATTTGAATGGAAATAGGATTGAAATTCTATGGAAAATAAATTCCAAAAAAATAGATTTCATTGTTTGGTAGGTGGAAAAGAAATTACTGGGAATATGAATTCCATTGTTTGGTTGAGTTTGGAATGGTAAGGAATAAGGTGTATAATGACAAATATAACCCTACACAACAATAATAATATAATAATAAGAGTAATTAATAAAGAATGATGAGAGTAAAATTGTCATATTAATTTTCCATGGAAAACCTTTTCCATGGAAAACAAAATATCTAACAAGAGCTAGTAATTTGTTTTCCTCATTCTCAAGAAAAACTTTTTCCAATGAAAAATGTTTTTCATCCAACCAAACAACATAAAACATCATTTTCCTTCACTTTTAGGAAAACATTTTCCATGGAAAATGTTTTCCATCCAACCAAACAACCCCTAAATGTTTACGTTTGAAGAAATCAAATAAATTACTTGTAGTTGCCGGGATTGAGCAGGCGATGGCAGTCCGCAGTCCGGTTGGAGGTCGGTGGTCGACGGTCGGCAATCTCAGCAGTCGACGATCGGCATCTCTACAATCTCGGCTTCTCGCGTCGACAGTTCTCTGTTCTCGCCTTCTCGCGTCGCAATAGCCAACAAGGACAGGGACTATAGCTTGATTTAGAATTGAAATTTGCTAGACACCCAGAAGTTGCTTGAAATTTTGGGCTTCCAAATTTCTCTCCTAATCTATGTTCTCTCAGCCAACAAGGACTAAGACCGCAAATTATGTCGTGCAACCGAATGCACCATGCGCATGGTGCATTCGATGTAAAACGACGTCGTTTTGGTTAAAAAACGCGCGTCCCACTTAAAAAAGAAATCAAGTTCGATTTCCGGTAATAGTATTTTTATATATCCATAAATTCATAACTATATATCCACAAATTCATAACTATATATCCACAGTGAATGAATGAACTAAATATCCACAACGAATGAACTAAATATCCACAATGATTGAACTAAATATCCACAATGAATGAACTAAATATCCATAAATTCATAACTATATATCCATAAATTCATAACTATATATCCACAGTGAATAAATGAAGTAAATATCTACAATGAATGAACTAAATATCCACAATGAATGAACTAAATATCCATAAATTCATAACTATAAATCCAAAAATTCATAACTATATATCCACAATAATGCTATTGCCGAGAATCAAACCTGATTTTTTTTTTTTAAAATGGGACGCGCGTTTTTAGTCAAAACAACGTCGTTTTGCATCGTATGCACCATGCGCATGGTGCATTCGGTTGCACAGCATAACTATTGGACTGAGACTAGAGTTTGATTTTGAATTGGAATTTGTCAGAAGCCCAGAAGTAGCTTGGAATTTTGGGGCTTCAAATTTCTCTCCAAATCTTGGGCTTCAAATTATATTTTCTCTATTTCACCATTTTAATTGAAATGTTGATAGACGGTCCGGCTCGACAATCCGGTGGATTAGCCCAACTTAACCCAGTAACCCTATAGGGCCAGCCCAATTATCTTGTTTTTTATTGGGTTGATTTTATTGGATTTTAGCCCTATAATTTTTAGGGCTTATTGGGCCAGCCCATTGGTTTAGGGCCAAATTGACATCCCTGACTGGCGGCCAACAATGATCGTAGACTTCATCCGAGTAGAAGGCAACCATTGGAGATGACGGCTAATGATTGCCTTCTCCATCAGAGAGGGAGACCAATCGATAGCCTTCTTCAAAGAGGACAACCGACAATCGATCGTTGATTGTCGATTGTCAATTTTTCTTCGATTGTTACGGTCAAGGAAGCCAATAGTGGTCAACGGCAGTTAGTGGCGGTCAACGATGACCTATATATTAACCCATTTCACTATATTGAAGTGTGTAATTACACTTTTAAAAAGTTTAAGTAGCTAATTGCATTTTCATATAAAATTAGAGATCCTATTTAAACCTTTTTTCCTTTTTAACATTTTTTTTATCTTATATTTAAGAAATATTATTTCTACCTTTAAAAAAATAAAATAAATGATATGAATGCAGCTTGATCAAACCCACTGTTCTCTTCATCCTTCTTTTTTTAACCCAATAAAATAGTTATAACATTATGGTGATTAGGTGTAGTTTGATCCTAAAAAATGAAAGGCACAGCTCTTCCCTCCCACCCATGTATACATAGAAGAATTTTTGGTTAATTTATTTATTCCAATATAGAATAGAGCTGTTTTACAATTTACTTAAAACTTAAGCAGTCAGCTGAGCTATAACTGCTTGTACGGGAAGCTTTGAAGTGTGTACTGAGAATGGAATAAGACAATAAGTGAAGGGTGGAATGGTGGCATTGCTCGAATTTACAGGTTTGCCACCTGGAGCCAGAGCTGATGATTCGTTGCAAAATTGTGTAGATTTGATGTTAGGTGCTTAACAAGGTTAATGTTGAACAGCTTTTCATTATCATTTGTTGCTGCACTAATTTATGTGGCATTTGCAAACTCATAGGAGGCATCGAAACCCAGAACTGAATAATCTCTGTATATAAAAAGTAAAAAGTGGGGTATGTATCTTTAATTTTTTTGGCTTTACAAGAATGCATACATATCTATTCATTCTTCACATGTAACAAAATGTCAGAAGAACCACAAAAAGAAAGCTCTCATTATTGATATGACCTGCAATGCAATGCTATGCTCCCCTTCTGGCCAGAGCCTCCAGAGAAATAAAATATAGAAAATAGACAGACAGTAGAAAAAAGCTCTTCTCTCTGTATAGTCAGTCACTCATACAGGAAGGATATGATATTCTTTCCAGGGCCAGCAGAACAGAATTGGCTTCTAGAAGCTGCATTCCAAAAATTGCTTACCCTTGATAACTAATAATGCTGTAAATGAATAAGGCTGAATAATCAATCAAGCATTCCTGCAGTTAATTCAATTATGATACAACTTCAAGGGCACTGCCTAATGGCCATGCTGCCTCAACAAAGGAATTCTGGTATTCCACTTGTTTTACCAAAGTGATCTCTTGCTGAGGATCAATCCCTGAAAACACAAGCATGAATGAATGCAATTAGTTTAACAACAATAATCCTTGTCCTTCCATGCCCATGGTAATATGATACATCATTTCTGTGCTTCCTGCAAATGCAATATCACTTACCAAACCCATCTACAAGCAGAGTGAACTGATAAACAAGATCCATGCACAGGTACGGCAAGTTATCCGCACTAACACTAGTATATTTAGATTTGGCATCCTCAAGTCCGGTTTCACAAGCATCTTGAGCTGCACTCTCAAAATCAGCAGGGCGAACTTTTGCAACAGGAGCAGCAGTTGCATTAATGAACCCAACCTACATAATATGCATATTGTGATCAGCATCACATAAAACAGTGCACCAAAATTTCCCTACACCACAAGTTAGTATTATAACCCATGAAAATGTATGTACACAATCATCTTTTCCAAAAGAAATATATACCTCTGCAGCCCTGTCAAAGAAGAATGAAGCAACAAAGAGATTCCTCTGACCATCGCCTCCACCTCCATTCCACACTCCACCAAAAGTGCATTTCATGGATGTGCAAATTGACTCATTGACTTTAAGAGCCTTAATAGATACCTCTCTGCAACTCTTCATGTTTGAACCATAAGGCAAAGGTGATGCAGGGTAAATTTCCCCTCCGTACTTATATGACCCTTGCAAACCACACACTCACATAGTCAATCAATCAATACACTCAATTTACAAAAGAAGATATAAGGGTACAAGATATATCTTCTTTTTGGATAAGGGTACAAGATATAGCTTAATCATTTCATTTTCCTAACCTTCAATGAAGTTAACAATTAAAAAAAAAATGAGATTCAAAACGTGAATTGGAAAACAAATAACTAAACAAGAGTCCATCTCACTAGTGAAAGCCCGTATGTATGAGCATTTGTGTTATCTATGTTCTATGGCACATTTATTTCTCAGCTTGGTTCATGTTGCAGCTTTCAGAGCCAGAACGTAGTTTTTTCTTTAATCATTATTTTGCTATATCCTGACTTGCACCCCCCCCCCCCCCCCCCCCCCTCTCCCCTGGCCACAACCCAAAAAAAAAAAAAAAAAAAAAAAAAAAAACAAAAACAAAAACAAAACAAAAAAACAAAACAAAAAGAAATAAACAATTTTAGTCAGGAAGGCGGGAGGTAAAAAAAAATAAAAAATAAAAAAATTGAACATGTATAAACCCAAAATGCAAAACAAATAGTGCTACCAGTTCATAAGGGAATAGTACCAGCATATCCTGCCAAGATGCAAGGATTCCCAGAGTTTTCTGTGACCTTCAAAATCTCAGCTCGAGCTGCTAGTAATCCATAGTGCAAATAACTGTAATGGAAATGAAAAACATATTATGGAGATAGAAGATACAGATTATTTTAATATAAAGAACGCATCACTACTCTGGATTAGCAACAATGCATACCCCTTCTAGCCATGTACAAACACAAGGAAAAGATCAGAAAGTGACAATGGGTACTCTAAGTTCTAAAATTATCTTAATTCTTGTTGCTAGAAAGAAGGGACATCAACGTAATGTGTTTGTTCTATTTTCTGTGTGTTCTTCTTCACTGTTACACTTAGATATATATACTACCACAATTGACTGTTTTACAACTCTTCACTTCCTAGTCTATTTAATTCTATGCCTTTCCATCTTCTATAACTGTTTATATCTAACACTCCCCCTCAAGCTGGAGCATAGATATTAATCATGCCCAGCTTGTTACAAATATACTCAACCCTGTCCCTGCTAAGCCCTTTGGTGAACACATCAGCTAGTTGATCGCCGCTACGAACATGAGCCATGGAAATGAGGCCTTGTTGAATCTTTTCACGCACAAAATGACAATCTACCTCAATATGTTTGGTACGCTCATGGAACACTGGATTGTTTGAAATATGTATCGCTGCTTGATTATCACACCATAAACGTATGGGCTTCATCACTTCCACACCAACCTCCTTCAACATATTGTGCACCCAAGTTATTTCACACGTCACATGAGCCATCGCCCTATACTCAGATTCTGCACTGGACCGAGCCACAACAGTCTGTTTCTTGCTTTTCCAAGAAACCAAATTACCTCCTACGAACACACAATACCCTGTTGTGGACTTCCTGTCACTTAACGAACCTGCCCAATCAGTATCCGAAAATGCCTCAACTCTGGCATGTCCATGATCAGCATATAGAATGCCTTTACCTGGTGCATTCTTGAGATACTTTACAATTCGAACTGCTGCCTCCCAATGAGTTCGCATGGGTGCTTGCATGAACTGACTTACCACACTGACTGGAAAAGCAATATCAGGACGCGTAATGGTGAGATAATTCAACTTTCCCACCAACTTCCTATATCTTTCTGGAGAATCAAAGGCCTCCCCCTCACCAGCCACAAGTCTCACACCCTGCTCCATAGGGGTCTCACATGGTTTTGATCCCAACAACCCAGTATCATCAAGCAGATCTAACACATATTTCCTTTGGGAGAGAAATATTCCTTTCCGAGAGCGAGCAACTTCAATCCCTAAAAAATACTTCAACACTCCCAAATCTTTCGTGTGAAACTTTTCTTTGAGGAAAGATTTAAGAGCTTCAGTACCTACTGCATCATTACCTGTGATTACTATATCATCAACATAAACAATCAAGAGAATGCACCCAACATTAGTATGCTTGAAAAAGACAGTATGATCACACTGACTCCTTTGCATACCAAACTCCATAATCACACTACTAAACCTCCCAAACCAAGCTCGTGGAGATTGCTTCAGGCCATATAGAGACTTTTTCAATTTACACACCCTTCCAGACTTCCCCTGAGCAACAAACCCAGGAGGTTGCTCCATGTAGACTTCCTCAACCAAATCACCATGTAAAAAGGCATTTTTGGCATCTAGCTGATACAGAGGCCAGTGGTTAGATGCAGCTAAGGAAATAAAAATACGAACTGAAGCTATCTTAGCTACCGGGGAGAAAGTTTCTGTATAATCAACACCATAAGTCTGTGTATATCCTTTTGCTACAAGACGAGCTTTAAGTCTGGCCACAGACCCATTAGGGTTCATTTTCACAACATAAACCCACTTGCAACCAACTGCAGTCTTACCGACCGGGAGGGGTACCAAATCCCAAGTATGGTTTTCCTCAAGAGCAGTCATCTCATCCTCCATTGCATGTCTCCACCCATCATGTGCTAAAGCCTGACTCAAAGTGTTTGGAACTGACACAGAATCTAAACGTGATAGAAAGGTGCGAGATGATAATGGTAAATGATCATAAGACACAAAAGATGAAATAGGATTTTGACAACGTCGTTTACCTTTACGAAGGGCAATGTGAAGATCCAGATCATTTGACGAAGATTCTGGTAAGGAAGAAGTATTCACTTGTGGTTCGGGTGGTGCCACTTCATCTCTCGGCTGCCGAGTATACACCTGTGTAATGGGAGGTCTAGAAACAGACTCGACAGGTATGGTAACAGTATATGTAAGAAAGTCATTGTCTTGAGTAGATCCATACCCAGACGACCCAACACCCCCAGTGAACACCATGTTTTCAAAGAAAGTAACATTAGCTGACACTAAATACCTCCCCAAGTCAGGTGAATAGCATCTATAACCCTTCTGAGTATGCGAGTATCCCAGGAATATACACTTAAGAGATTTTGGATCAAGTTTTCGGCGTTGTGGACGAACATCCTGGACAAAACAAGTACATCCAAATATTTTGGGTGGGAGATGAAAAAGAGGTTCAGTCGGATACACTAAAGAATAAGGAATTTGACCTTGAAGGACTGACGAAGGCATCCGATTGATCAGGAAACATGCTGTATGAACAACATCAGACCAAAAGACTTTAGACACTTTCATTTGAAACAAAATTGCCCGAGCTACTTCTAACAAATGACGGTTTTTCCTTTCTGCCACTCCATTCTGCTGAGGTGTATACGCACACGAGGATTGATGAACTATCCCATGTTGGCCCATATAAGTGGAAAAGGGTTTAGAGAAATATTCTTGTGCATTGTCACTTCGCACACACTTAATAGTTTTATTAAACTGGGTTTTGATCTCAGCACAAAAACTACAAAAAATTGTAAACAACTCATCTCTAGATTTCATAAGATATAACCATGTACACCTAGAGAAGTCGTCCACAAAGGTTACGAAATATCTAAACCCATTCTTCCCTGTGACATGACAAGGACCCCAGACATCAGAATGAACAAGTTCAAATACAGATCGTACTCTTTTATTGACACGAGGAGGGTAGGAAACCCGACAATGCTTAGCAAACTCACACGACTCACACTGCAAAGTAGACAGTGATTCTAAGCTAGGGAAGAGTTTCTTTATGACTGACAGTGATGGGTGACCATATCGACAATGTAGCTGGAAATGAGAGGTATTACTCAACATGGCCTTGGACGGAGATATAGATTGTTCTAACACATACAGTCCTCCGACTTCCTTCCCATTACCAATAATCTTCTTCGTCAAAAGACTGAAAGAAACAATAACCCGAAAAAAAATGAGACAGAACAATTCAAAAACCGTGTGATCTGGCTAACAGAGAGCAAATTAAAGGGAAACTTTGGAAGATATAATATAGATGACAAGGGTAATGATGAGGCTGCACCAGCACTACCTCTTCCCAAAACTGGAATGGATGACCCATCTGCTAGAGTAACCATAACCCCAGGATTAGATGGAGAATGTGGAAAAAACCTTAGAATTACCTGTCATATGGTCACTAGCTCCAGAGTCAATGACCCACTGTGTAGACGAAGAAGACACACGCAACAGGATTACCTGTTTGGACAAAGGTTGCAGAAGAAAACGGTTGACTGGATGGAGACTGCATAGGAGAAGACATTTTCAGTTGATTGAACGCTGCTAACTCCTCATCTGTCATAATTACCATATGTCCTTCAGATCCGGAGGTTGTGTTAACAAACCTTTGTTGCCTGGGTAATTTAGGACATTGATTTTTGAAATGGCCCGGTTCTCCACAATTGAAACATACCCTTGGTCCTCCACGACCTCCTCCACGGCCTCTTCCACCACGTCCTCGTTGGCGACCACCTCCACTTTGACTATTATACCCTTCATTAGTATAATTTCCTTGAGATACAAACACACTTCCATCACTATTGCTCCCTTGTGATATAAAAACACTCTTCTCAACCGGTTCATTATTGTCAACACTTACTGCTGCATTTTGTATCTGAGAAAATACTTGGTCCAACGACCCTAATTCCTTGTTTCCCAATAATTATGACCTAAGAATCTCATACTCTTTGTCAAGCCCAGAAATCCAACTAAAAGCAATTAACTGATCACGTTGTTCTTTCATTGTTTTCACATCAGTTGTAATAGGCATTGCAGTGCATAAAGCTTCACTTAAGCTTTTAAAATCATAATAGTAGTCTCTCAGATCTCGACCTTTTTTATTAGGTCTATAGACATCTTGAGACAACTGATATAATTTTCTCAAATTACTTGTCCCACTGAAACATTCAGATACTAACTCCCACACTGCTTTAACCGTGGTACAATGTTGCATTGATAAAATCACCTTTCTATCAATACAATTAATTACCCGTGATAATAAAGCTTTATCATCTATTTCCCATTCTTTATTATCTGCAGGGCAATCTTTATCTAAATGGTCACCTTTACCCATTCCATCTAAATTAATTTTAACCAAGAATTTCCATTCAGCAAAATTAGACCATCAGCAGCCAATACTACATCAATTAATTTAGATGGAGTAGATACAACAGTAATATTCTTATTACTTCCTTCTGCCATGAATGTCTATTCACGTTGATGCTGTTACAAATTAATTGATAGACCACTATTTGGAGACTTCTGGAAGTAGTGATTCAACAGCCCAAAAACTTAAAGCAACAATGAACTGCTTATTCACGTTCAACCTAGGTTCGGAAACCCTAAGTGCAATCATCCACAAACCAAAACTCCACACAACATACCTGGGCAAAGCCTACTCCTCACGGCGAGTTCCCCGGAGTAATCGCCGTCGTTGATGGTGGCCGGAGAACGCCTCACGCGCCGGCGCGTGGCGTCGGAGCAGCTGGACGACGGCGGCGAGTGGTGGCGCGTGGAAGCTCTGATGGCGGCGCGGCTTGAGACCTGGCGGCGCCTCCTCCTTCCGATCACGGCCCACTACTTCACTCTCGCCGGCTCTGATACCATGTTGCTAGAAAGAAGGGACATCAACGTAATGTGTTTGTTCTATTTTCTGTGTGTTCTTCTTCACTGCTACACTTAGATATATATACTACCACAATGGACTGTTTTACAACTCTTCACTTCCTAGTCTATTTAATTCTATGCCTTTCCATCTTCTATAACTGTTTATATCTAACAATTCTCATTAAGGAACAAAGCATATATTAATTGTAGAGAATGAGACAGACCTGTGAACGTAAAGGTAATATTTCCTTCCCTTAAGATACATTTCCTGCACATATTTATCTTCTGGATCTGATAATTTTGGTGCCTTTTGAGCATCCGACTCTGAGATGGCATAAGCCATTTGCACAGATCCACCACCAAGATCAACTACACCAACAGTTTCAGAATATTCTTTACCCAAATTGCCTAGGAGATAGTTAATAGTCACCTGCAGAGATAGATGAAAGTCAAGCAAAAAATCCATAAATGCATCTAGTTATTGTACAACCTATGCTCAAATGGCAGCTTTAAAGTTTACCATGTGGTTGTCACAAAGTGTGGAACTGTGGATGCTAACTACCAAATGGGAATGGATTGCTAAAGGCTAATGGGAAACAGAGACTGGTACTTCCTTCAAAGGACCATCAGTATATTTCCAACTCAACTAAAAAGGAATACCACTAGCAAAAGGACAAAGAAAAGAATGGCCACAACTTGTCTGAAACCAGTAGTTCTCTTAAAATTCCATAAAGTTACACAAAAAAACAGATAATAAGGTATACATTAAACAAATATCCTTGTTCAGCATTTATAAAACAAACAGTATATATGTAAATCAGTAAATGCACACGTGCACAACAAACACAGATAAATATATATGTAGATGCATAGATAGATACACATCCATTATCAGCATAGCTTATCACCTAAATTTCTAACAGGTAATACCCACCTCAGCTGAATCTGAACTAGCCAATCATTTTAAAATAATATGCCAGTTCACTTTACAACTGTTTGCATTTGCAAAAAAATCTTTTAGGTGAGATTTTTTTTAATAGGTAAGGAAGTGTATTAAAAGTACCCAGGGGTTGCAACCTAGATATACCAAGAATACAGAACACTAGGAAAGGCTCTCCAGTCTCCAAAAATAACCCCAAGAATTTCCCACCAGTGCCCAAAAGAAGACCTATCTGCAGAAAAGCTATACAGACATCACAACAAACACCTGATATATATCTTTTAAGCGAGATTAAATCAATGATGCTTTAAGAAATGCCAGGTGTCATGTTTATTTCATAAAGCAATTATAAAACTACCGAGTGGGTATTTTATTTCATACATAAAGTAATACCAAATTTATCTGTAAACTGAATATCTCATTTTATACAATGGGGAAGGACATTTCATGTAAAACAAAGTTAGGAATAACTAGAATGACTACTTGAAATGAAATGAAAATTGCATAACATACATATGGGACAGTTTTGTAATTAAACAGGTCAATGGTTTTCCATTCATGAAATGGAAGGAATATCCATTTTGGGCATCAATGATAACTAGGAACTCTTATTATCTCACATACTCATCCTCTCCAAGCATTTCCCCAAGCTCAAATTCCGAATCAGAAAGGTATCTCAGTTTTTTATAAGAATTCAAAGTACACATTAGCATGTAAAAACTGTAAATATAAAATTAACATACCCACTCATAAGCACCTTCCTGACTTCCATCCAGGACAGTAACCCAATCAGGTTGTGACTTGAGGCTGCTTTTGGTCTTTAAAAAATCCCTCACCTTCATCAATAGAACTTAATTTAATTGATGTAAGAAGCAATAAATTTTGAAGAATAAGGTAGCAAATTAGGATACAAGACACATCCACTAAATAAAAGAAACAATATATAATATTGGACTTGAAAGAAAATAATAGACTTACTGCTTGCAGAATCCTATCAGGGGCATCGCCTTCTAATTGTCTCAAACCTGCAGTTGCCTGTATATACATCCATGTGAATTACATTTTGAATGAATGGCAACAAAAATCCTTTCTCGCTTTTTGACAAAGTTGTAGTTACTAACCCCAACTCTGACTGGGGTGTTGTGGCGCAAAGGCTGAGGAACTACTGCCTCTGCCTTTTCAAGAAGTGGTTTAATAGAGTTTGCAGCAGCCTCAGGATCAGTTGGATAAGCACTCAAACCTGGTTTTAACTGTGGAATAGAGAGACAGAACAATAATTAATTAATTAATTAATTAATATAATATATATACAGCTGAACAGAAGTAATGGATTCGCAGAGTAAAATGCAGTTAGAAAGACAATTTTATAAGCAAGCAAAGCAATAAGTACCTGGTGGAAAAGTTCGAGATTATTGCCGATAGGAACGAGATCGAGGTTCTGGTCAAAACAGAAAACGTGCACTCTACTGCCAGAACTACCGGCGTCAAATATGACGGCGTACTTGTTAGATCCGAAGTTGGGAGAGAATTTGCGGTTGAGGGAGTCGACGGAATCGGAAGGCGATCGCGATCGAAAGAGAAGGAAAGTTATAAGCAGGAGAGGAAGAGCGATGAGGAGGAGGACGCCACGGTATCTGAGGATCTTGTCGGAGAGGGAGTCGTGCTGGCCGCGATTGCGCTTGAGTGTCTTCTCCATTTGATCTAGTGGAATGTGCAGCGGTTGTGCCTCCAGGAGCTCAAGGGCCGACGGCGATCGGTGACGGATCTGGCCGTTCCCCGACGTGTCAAGGGGTGGGACCTGGTGGGTATCCTGCACAGACTCCAGCTCTTCAGAGTGGGTTGTGACGCTCTCTACTCTCTCTGGGACACGCAGCTCCACCCACTTCAATCCGCCAATGCAAACTCACTGCAGTCTGCACACTCCTACACCACCAAATGCGCAATTTAGCGGGAGACACGCTGGGGAAATTATCACACTAACTGCAACTTTTTAAATGTTTGAGATTTTACTTTTTACAACGAAAAGGAAAAAAGGAAACTTTCAAGTGCTAATCATAAAATTGTAAATTCGAGTTATGGGTTTTTTTTTTTTTTTTTAACTAATTAGAATGGCATCCAGGTTATCCATTCAATTCAAATGGATAGTCATAGGTTCAAACTTTGGTGAGGATTAGTTTCAAGGAGATTTTAAATTATGAAATTTTCATCATATTCGCGATTGAGGATCAAAATACCATGGAGAAAGTATTTTCGTTTCCGGCCATGGAATCGAATGGACCTCCGACTCCGTGGCCGGAGACGAAGATACATTCTTCTTCTTTGGCCGAAGACGAAGAAACCTTCTTTGACCATTGAAACGAAGCCTTTTTTTTAGATTGTTAATAATGATATCGCTTTTTATATGGCAAACACCATCGACTATAATAGACACTATGAGCACAAAGCACCACGCTTCTGTTGTCAAATCGTGTTTCATGCTTAGTCTACCGTCATACAAAGAACCCAAAAAATAGATGTATGAATTTGACTTTGTTATGAACACTAGTGTACAAGTATTTGAGAGTCATATCATGCATGAGCATCTCAATTGCTATTGAGTGATAGATTGTGAGCAATAACACATGATCAAGTATGACGAACACAATGTGGGAATTACATCAACGTGGTGGCAACCAAACAATGGTCCTCCCACATAATGAATTGCTAATTTACACATTCAGTATCTTGTTGCCCATAGTAAGGGTCCTGGTGGGGGCGAGGGAGTTTCGCCTTACACATCCTACAATTTATCTCCTTCACGGGTCTTCAAAACCAAGATTGCAAAAATCGCTAGGCAATTTTTTTTTTTTTTTAAATAAGAGTATGTTTGAAGAGTTTATTTAGAAGCTTATAGCTTGTTTTAAGCTACTAATAAGCTATAAGCTCTATTTGATAATGTTCTTTCTCAAAATAAGCCCGTAATTTAAAATAAGAGTTTATTTTAGAACGCTACCTTAAGTAACGTTCCAAAATAAACTATTAGCTTCCTAATTATTATTATTATTATTATTATTATTATTATTATTATTATTATTATTATATGAAGGAGATTCACATCAATATTCTTACTTCATTATGGGATGCTAGATCATGATTATGCTAATATAGTTTTATTTCAAAATGTTAATTTTTTTAAAGACAAAATGTTAAATTTTTATATGTAAACAAACTAATTTAGATTGTATGAAGATGTCATTTTTTGTCCTTATCATATTTAAGACTTGGTAATCTAAAAACATAATAAGTCTCAATCAAAGTTATATATCTCATTTATGTCAATGTTTTTAATGCTAATCATTTTGTACATTGTGCTTTTAGAGTTGTATCATACAATTTTATGGACAAAAATACCCTTACTGTTATAACTTCCATTATCTTTTCCATTACTTTTACCATGCACATGCATCCACCATATATTTTCTTATATTCTTTAATGATAATAATATTTATAAGATATTATATATTCATTATATATTGAATTAATATAATAACTAACTTTTATTTCACTTAGATTTTAATTAGTAAAAAATTGTTAGTTATTTTTTAAAAATATTAATATTGGACATATGTTTTTGCGCATAGCGCATAGAAAAGACTAGTTATACTAATAATAGTACAAAATTATTATTATTTAATAATAATAATAATAATAATAACAATAATAATAATAATGGACATTTTGACCTTTAAACTTGCAAACTTCAGAGAATTTTCGATTAACCGACCGAACCGACAAAGTTCGTTTAACCGTTTTTTAACTGAACTTTTTCGGTTCGGTTAATGGTTAAAGGAATTTCAAAATTTCGGTTAATGGTTAATTCGGTTCGAAAGGTTGGTTAATCGACTATGGATGTTTGGTTAAATATAAATAGTAATTGTGTAATACTAATATAAATATATAATGGACTATGGATGTTTGACTTTGGATTTTTTATTGAAGATTTGAAGTTAGGGATGGATTTATTATGATATGTATTTTATTTTAATTAGATTTATTATTTTAGGTGATTTTTAGGATTTTAAATTTTAGCTTTAAAAAGTTCGGTTAATCGGTTAACCGAAAAAAAATTTTGATTCGGTTAATTCGGTAACACAAACTTCGGCTGGTTAACGGTTAAATGTTAATTCGATTCGGTTAACTGAACGATTAAATGATTGAACACCCCTACTTTAAACTATTTGTTCCCTTGCAATTCCTATGAATACCAAATAGTAAAATTGAAGTTCCCAGTAATTTTATTCTTACAAATCAAAATTTAAATTCTCACTTTATTCCCACATTATTTATCTCTTCTGAAATTATTACAATTATTTTTTCCATAATTCACTCATTGCAACTCAACGCCGGTAAAGGATGTTAGGCATTGGGTTTGGAAGGACGTCAATTAATTGATGCTATTAAAATCAACAATAACTGCACTGCAAATTTGACAAAAGAAATTAATTTGTGCTTGGCATCCTCAACCATAAACTAATTCTTCTTCACTACTTTAGTACTTTCATATACAGACTAATTTAATAATTTGACTTTCTTTGTATGGAATTGAATAGCATTTTTTATTACTACTTTTAGATATATAAAGAATACAATTTTCTGCCACCCTAATTAAATTGATTAATATAAAAATTTGTATAATAAATCATTTATGTAAGTCATTAATTTTTCAGTAACTGAATACATTATGGCTTGTTTAGTATGCACGAATTGATTTTTCTTTCCAATGAAATTCTGTAACAATCAAATTTTGAAAGAATGACCAGGGATCGAGTCTCACCAGCGATAGTGTGTGAGCTACCTCTCAAAATGAGGGGGTTCTTTGTGCCCAGTGAGTAAAGGTCTAGCCTCTGTAGCTCATGTTCAATTGAATTACCATGATTTACATCCTTTGTGCCCAGTGAGTAAAGGTCTAGCCTCTGTAGCTCATGTTCAATTGAATTACCATGATTTACATCATTCCAAATACTCTGTCGGGTCGAAATGTGGGGGCCCTTAAGGTTGGAGTTCAACCTTTTGGAAGAACAATCAAAATTCTATTGATTAGTTGGAGGGTTCCCACCATAGAATTACAACTTCTATGCCCCCACCCCCAAGGAATTGGAACTCCACAGCATATGAGAAAGGAAGGAAAAAATAGGGAATTGAAATATTCACCCTTTATTTATTTATTTATTATTATTATTATTATTATTGTTATTATTATTATTATTATTATGGAGTAACATTTTAATCTTTATATCACTTATTCTCTTTCAATTCCTAATAATTCTATTCATGCATCACTACAAAAAAATGCTTATATAGTGACGGATTTAGCGACGGACCTATTCCGTTGCTAAAGCGACGGATTTTAATTTTTTTGCTAAATTGACATTTAGCGACGGATTTGTGATTAATATTGCGACAGAATATTTCCGTCGCTAAATACATAACTAATTTTAGCGACAAACTTTGAAGCAATAATTAGCGACGAACTTTTCACAAGCTGACTTCATAATGTTATTTACTACAATTTAGCGACGGATTTCAAAATCCGTCGCTAATTAGCTACGGAAATTAGAATCCGTAGCTATTTAGCGACAGATTTTAAACTCTGTAGCTATATATAGCGATGGATTCTAATTTCCGACGCTAAATTTATTAGTCGAATTTTTTTTATCATATTAGCTACGGATTTTTTTAATCAGTCGCTACATATACAAGGCAATTATTAATTTTTTCTACATTTTAACGACTGATTCACAAATCCGTCGCTAATTGTGAATTTTTTTTCAACCTTCGTTATCTAAATAAACTCACGCTTCTCAGTGTTGTTTCAGTCCTAACTAGTATAGTTCCCGTGCGATGCACGAGATGGATATTGTTCAAGATAGTTTACAATTATGTGAATAATTGGTTACGTTGTTGTGAAAAGTTTGCAATATTAATAAATAGTAAAAATTATTACAACATGTTTAAACAGAATATCCAAAAATACCGTTTAGTAAACAATTACAAATTATTGAAGATTTCATGGTACACTACGTTGGTTGTTGATGTAGCAGTTATCCTTGAGTCGCTGACAATTAATTAGGGTACGTTATACTAATGTTATAAATATAATGTAATGATTTAGATTTTTAGTTGACGATTTGTTTACCAATTGCGTCATCGCTTTTACTTGGCGACAAATTCAGGTCAAATGTATGAATAAGGCGCTTCTTCGACGGTGAATTATCCATTAAATCAATAACTTCTTCGCAATAAGCTATAATAGTTGTCATCAATTAAGTATTGTTATTATAGTATAAATAATGCATAATTGCGGATTAAGTGTTAAGAAAATTGTTTATATTAATATAACAATACTAACAATTTGTAATATTGCTTAAAGGTTGTCTGTAATTGCTTGTTTGACCCAAGGTGTTAGAGATTAAAGCGGTCATTAAGAGATTATATATTAGTGTCATAAAATATTCAACTTTAATTAAATAATAACCATTGCTAAACATGTGAAATAATGATAAAACTTCAAATTCCAAACATATAATAAATCTCTATCTCTATAATTACATGCACTCAAAAGTAAATGCTTAATGTAAAGTGAAATAGTCCAGTTTATATATTTTATATATAATGTATATAATCCTCAAACTAAATTTTTTAATCAGTTTTATAATATATATAGAGATTATAAATATTACTCCATTAAGTAACCATAGTGTTAGTTTTCTCACCAGAAGCAATAATGGGTCTTTGTTGACCTTATCTGCTACAATCAGATCTGGGTTATATTTTGGAAATGAGAATGATGCTCTCATTTCATACCCAGCGTTCACAGTTCTCGCTTTGCACCCTTTTCTCTCGATTTCGTCCTATTTCTCTACATTATTTTCCAGATCATGCGCTCTCTGTTCGTAATCAGGTGTCGTTCGTATGTAATCTACAAACATCATCTCTCGATTTCGTCCTATTTCTCTACCGATTTGGAAACCCTACTCTGAGTTCGAGTTTGCTCGTAGATTCAGCAGTCGCGAAAATGAAAATGAAGTCTCACACCTATATTTGTAAGTTTTTAATCCTGGTTCTTCTTTTCTCCGATTTACTACTTTAAAATTCAATTATAAGCTTTAATATAGGATTTATGCTTAATTTTGATTTTTTCTGTGAACTGATGTTACTTAATCGACAATCTAGAATCCAGAAATTTGAGTTTCAGAATCATGCATCTAAACCCTAAAATTTTGTTTATTTGATTTTTTAACTTTCGATAATTTCTAATTTGATATTTTTAGATTTTTTTGCAGTTTCCTATAAATCGAACATATTCATTTGTCTACAACCAAGGGTTTCTAATTTGAACAGAGAGCTTCGAAAAGAGATAAGTTTTTTTAATATATGCCATTTGATAGTGTATGTAATGCATTTGATAAGTTTTCCTATATGATTGATTACATGCTTTTACTACCTATTTGATAGTGTATGTAATGCATTTGAAGGAGACACACCTTTTGTTTGACGACACTGTTTCCTCTTGGATCCAATCGTGCATGATGATGTAGTCTTCCTCATGTTCTGCAATAGGAATGCTTTAGCTACTGTGCTTTTGATGGGAATGGTTTACCTACTGTGTTTTTTATGGGATGAGAGTATTGTGTTCAGATCAGTGTTGTAAATCCAATATTGTTTTTATTGGTTGTGTATTTATATAGAAGGTAAACTGCTTTCTCTTGAAAACCAAAATTGTAGGACTTAATTATTCATGTTATCAAGTACATAGGGAACCTAAAAGGTTTTTTAAAGTTTTGTGAATTAATCCCTCACTGTAATATTTTTTTTATTGTTGTTATATTAATGAAGCTGAAATGTTAATGTTTTTAATTATAGTTTTATATATTTAGGTGGTGTGTCAGTTAACATATAAAGGACCTGTATATTTTTGTGGTCATGTTATACTGTAAATGAAAGAGACACTTACCATTTGAACACTTCATTATGAACCAATGTGAATAAGTATATATAAGTTTGACTTCATTAACACTTATTAGAATTAATCTTTTTCAGGGGATCTTGAATTTGGTTTTTGAGCAAGTGATGTTACTTTACTAATTTTAAAGACACATTTACTAATTGAAGTATCTTATGTCAATTCCTCTAAGGTGACTTTGATTTTGCAGTTAAGGTGTTGGGGTCACAGATTTGAGATCTTAGATGACCCAAACATAAACTTAGTAACCAAATAGATTATGCAGAACAGATCTCTTACACGGTTTAAATGTAAGTTTAAAACTTTTATTTTAATTGTGAGTTTAGAAGTGTTTTCCAGTAAAGTAATTGAAGTATTTTCTTAAAAATTTGCTAAAATGACCTTTCATTTTGCAGTGAAGGTGTATTGGTCACATGTGTGATATCTTAACTCATTCAATTTTAAAGTTGGGAACCAAACCGAGTCTACAATTAGTTAACAGGTAATGTTAGAGTTTAAGATGAAAAAGTGGACCATTAATGTTAGAGTATAAGTTTGACTTCAGTTATACTTATTAAAATCGATTTTTGCAGGGCTTTTTACCATTCCATTTTTGAGCAGGTCATGTTACTTTACTAATTTGCAAACTACATTTACACATTGAAGTATTTTATGTCAAATTGTTCTAAAACCTCCTTTGATTTTGCAGTGAAGGTGTTGGGGTCACAGATCTGAGATCTTAGATGACCCAAACGTAAACTTGGGAACCAAAGAGAGTATGCAGTACATCTCCTTTACACTGCTTAGAGGATTAAGTTTAAAATTTTTCTCAAAATTGTGAGTTTAGAAGTGTTTTCCAGTAATGTTAGTTAATAATTTTCAAGACAAAAGCATGCTAATTGAAGTATTTGATGTCAAATTTTCTAACTTGAGCTTTGATTTTGCAGTGAAGTTGTTGGTTTCTACAATCTGAGATCTTACCTGACCCTAAAGTAAACTTGGTTGCCTGCTGAGAATATGAAGAGCAGATGTAACTGTTTAAATGTAAGTTTGAACCATGTTATTTTAATTGTGAGCCTAGAATCTTTGTGCAGTTCTCACTGTTTTAGTTAGGATATTTAAATTTAATTTTTCGCATTGACTAACCACAGTTGTGGCAATTTACTTGGCAGGATGGGTCAAAGTTGTGAGGGCGAAAGGGATACAAATTGTAATATTTTTTTTAAAGGCAAATCAGGTAACATTTCGGAATCTAAATTTGTCTATATACTTTACTGTGCCTGTATGTATTTTTGATTTTTTTGGAATCGAAACATATGTTATATGTTTTTTGCTGTTATTATGAGTGTATTTGATTGCATTTGTTCTGAATGTGGTTTCCAATTAATAAGCATGTTGCAAAAAAAATTCTTTTATAGGATATCACTTCATACATTACTTGTGATTACAATACAATTCTTATAGTATTTTATATCTAAATAGAACTTATCAAAATAGTCTGATGCCTTATTTTTAATATCTGAGTATGTAAGAGGAGAATTTTCCTAGTTCCCTCTCAGGCCTCACCCCTCACCCTCAGTCGTCTCTGCATCAGGCCTCAGCCGTCGCCAGTCGCCAGTTGCTGGCTCGCCGCTCCTCTTCTCAAGCCTTGCCGACTCGGTGACTCACCGCTCTCACGCCGAAGCACCTCCACTGTCGGTGTCGCTGGCTCGTCATCCTTGGTCTTCCTTATTCCGTCACACCTTCTGCTCCGGGTCCGCTCTCACTTACTCGCCGAAGCAATCATTCAGCCTCTCAATTGTTCCCTTTCAACAGGTAATTCTACTTCTCATTACTGGCATATTTTATATCTGTGTCTGTGCGTCCTTGTAACCTTTGGGTCTAGTTTTTCATTTTTCATAGTTATAATTTAGGAGTATTATCCTTCTACACCACTTAAGGTTTGTGTATGTTGGGGGAAATTTGGGAAAAGGGTTTCTGGTCTTTCTTGTCTGCGGTTGAGAAGTAAATCTAACACATCAATATATAGCTGATGTTGGGAAGGTTAATAGCAGTATGTTGCCACAAGGAAAATGGGACTTCAGGCTTGGTATTTTAGAAAAGTAAGTGAAACTATCAAATGGCTAATACTACATATATACAAGCCATGACCACATATGCATAAGTAAGTGCATAACACATTTATTTCTATAAGTAGAATGGAGAAAAATAAATACATTATATTCTTTGGCAAATAAAAAGGGAGCTGCTAACAATATGACCACTGTATTGTAGAGTTGCATAATGTATTTTTTTAATTGTGAACTTGTAGTGTTAATGAGTTGCTTTTGAGTGAAAGAGGCCACTGGACCCATTCTATAGATTATGTGCAGATGAACTTTTTTGTCCACTGTATGGCCCTCTCCATAGTGGAGCAAATGTGTTATTGTTCATTAAAATTGTTCAATTGATTTTGATTCTATTGAAATTGTTTTTTCACTTTTTAGGCTGAGTGATGCTGTCGACCACAATGAAGTAGGGGGTATTGTAAGTAAGTATAAGCTCATATAATCTTCAGATGGATTAAAGCTAGGATGTTTTCCTTATTTATTTTTTAAAAAAATAATTAGGGATGTGATGTATGTTGTTGTTCATGGGCACTTGAAAAGCTTTCGGGGTAAAATGCAGATAATAGCTTTGCTATAAGGTATGTATCTCTTTTAAACAGACAAAAAAGCATCTCTTTTAAACAGACAAAAAAAAAAAACCAATCTGTTCTAGTTATCTTTTGAACTATTTTTAATGACTAAATGATAAATGTTTTTGAAATGAAATATCTTATTTTCTCTTTGCTCTACAATATGTTATTAGTAATGTAATATATGTTAGTTGACTTCAAACAATCTAAAAGAAAATTTACTTCCAATTTTAGAAAATAGTCATAATTGCAGCTCAAAATCTAGGAAGTATATGAAGCATGTCTATGTGTGAGTATATGTATTGTTTGCCTTCTAATTTTTTTTTTTTTTTTTTTTTTGAGAATTAATACTTCACCCTCTACTTGTCTCTAGTCATCCTCATACTAATAAAATAAGGTGGGAGAAATTTTGGTTTGTCAATTCTCTTCATCAGTGGGTTGAATTATGCAGCAGTTAAGATGGACTACATATTTTGATTTATTTTGGTTTAAATTAAAAAATAGATTAATGTCAAACATGCTTAAATGTCACGGTTCAAAATGAACTTTTCTGGATCTATTCTATCTAGGCATTATTATATATACAAACTCCATGTATCAATCTCTTCCTGCTGTATGAAATGAAATTGTAATCCATTGCACGGAGCAAACCATGTTCTCTGTAGTTGATGGAAATATTGCTTATGGAAAATATACTAGCTCTAGCCATTGTTGGATTAAATTCATTATATTATAGCCAAGTTGGGAGATTTTGCTAGAAGTTGGCTACCAGTAAATATGATAATCCTATGTTGCTAGAAGTTATACTTGTATATTAACAATTGATCCCAGTCTGTGCGCTAAGTCCCGTCTACTTTTTCTCAGTTCTTTGGACAGAATTGTATGGATGGGCTCAAGGGCATTGAAAACTGGTGATGGATTATTTGCATCAGCCTTCACCAATGCAAGTTGTACTCTGGTTTAAAGTCTTCATGGGTCTAGGAAGATGGTCATCAATATATAATCTGTTGCAAACCTTGCTAAATTTGAAATTTGGAATAACATTTATTTCCATGGTTAACTTGGCAATATACTTAACAATTTATGAATTGCTTTTATTTTGGGTCAACTATCAAATTTGCTAATTGTCTTTTCAGGTGCAAAGGAAGCATGTCTATAATCTTCGCCAATTATATTAACTGATGATTTTGAGAGTTGCAAACAGTGCCAAGCAGAACCTTCTGCCAATTTAAATGCTAAAAATTTAGGACACAATTAGATTATGTGTATTAATATTTTTTGGTACCGTTTCTAACGATGTAACACTTTATAATGATATAATGCTATACTTTTGTTATTGTTATTGACATTGAATTTCTTATCTTATTATAATACATTTTCTAATGATATTATTGAACTGTTATATTTTAGGTTTAATGCAGGTATGTGATATTAATTAATTGATAGAATTAAAAAAAAAAATTAAAAATTTAGCAATGGACAAAAATCGTAGTAAATTCGTAGCTAAAAATCTTCCAATAATAAAAAAAATAACAACGAATAATGACAAAAATTTTCGTCGCTAAATTTAGCGATGGAAATTTTCGTCTCTAAGCAAATTTAGCGATGGAATTTTTCGTCGTTATTCCCTTACAAATTTCATCATTCAAATCGTCACAGGAAGGAAATTAGCGACGGATATATTTAAGTTTAGCGATGGTAATATTCGTGGCTAAATTTAGCAACGGAAAAAAATTGCGTCGCAAAATTCTAGCCACGTCACTTTTAGCGACGGACAGATTCAGTCGCTAAAGCGATTAGCGACGGATTTTTCCTTTTCTAGCGAAGGAATATTCCGTCGCTATTTTTGCATTTTTTTGTAGTGTACTAAACAATAGATTTGAATTTCTACTTTATTCCCACCTTATTCTTTTTCCACGGAATTACAAATTTTTTTTTTTTTTGGCACCCAAACAAAAAAATAACTAACAAAGTTAGCTCAAAATAAAAAGTTGCCTACATGCACCAAATTGGTCATTGCAGACAAGATTTCTACACCGAAGCCAGGAGGGGGCACTTCAAATTTCATTCACTCCGGAATTACAATTCTTTTCCTCCTTAGTTCTCTAATTCCAAACAAACTTCCCGCAAATGAAATGGATGAAGTAATATGTATACAATAATTTTTATGGATATGGTATAGTTCCTATGAGCATTTGTAGTCCCATGAGAATGTGGTGACTGATTTCATTCGTCCATCTAAATGATCAATGGCTGAAAATTAAGGAAAATCATATGGTGGCATTTCCATCATTTTTTTCATCAATCAAAGGGAACAATTACGACAATACATCTGAAAAAGCTTGATAATGCATTTACATATAACTAATAATGCACACACATTATTGCATTATTACATATCTCGAGTGCATTGTCATTTACTTGTACTTTCAGATGTATATTCGTATTAAAAATGTACTTCGCATTTATGATTCACACAGTTATCTTGGACTGTAGAAGTTAGGGTTGAAGGCAGATTTTCTGACAGAGGTAAAGAATCGGGAGTGAGGCGAGAGAGCATGAGTGAGGCCAAAGAATGTACTTCGCTTTAATATATTTGTTTATTAAATATTATAAAAGAGAAAATTTCAATTTTGGTCCACTGATTATTGGGGTTGTGTTAATTGCAACACTTGACTTTCAAAAATGTTAATTAAGTACCTTGACTATGCAATTTCTTTCAATTTTGGTGACTCCGGCCAAATTACCAGTCAAATCTCACTGAAAATTTTTAATAGGTCAAATAATGAGGGCTTTTTTGGTCATTTTACTTTTTCCCTTTCTTCCCCGCGAGCAACTCCATTTCCGGCGAGCCATATGGTTGAACTCCTTAACACTAACAATTAACACAAAGGTGAACTCTTGCTTCTCTGCAAGATCAACATCATCTCCTTCAACGCCCTTCCATTCGAAAAACCAAACCAGATTAGCCACAAAGTACTCTAAATGCAGCAAAACCAAAGCCAAGCCAGGGCAAATTCTCCTCCCTGCACCAAAAGGCATCATTTTGATTTCTCTACTTCCAGTTATATCAAATGTTTCTTCACCATTACTCAAGAATCTCTCCGACTTAAACTCCATCGGATCGTCCCACACCTTCGGGTCCCATCCCAGATCAGCCACCATGAAATTTATCACTGCGTTCTTGGGGATTACGTAGCCTTCGAGTTCAACTTCCTCGGTTACCGAGTGTGGCAGCACGAAATGTGCAGAAGGGTGGCGTCTCAGCCCTTCCAAAACCACCGCTTTTAAGTACGGCATTCTTTGCAAATCCTCCTCTTTCACACCCTCCTCCGCCGGTGCTCCGATCACTCCCAAGATTTCTTCGTAGAGTTTTGCTTGAATTGATGGGTGCTTCACTAAATTCGCCATGATCCATTGCAGCGCAGTGGAAGTTGTATCCGTGCCGGCGTTGAGAAATTCCCCACAAAGGGAATTTTGGGCCAGAAATTCAGGATACTAAATCGGGGAAAACTGAGAATGAATTTTCTCTGTATTTCCCCGATTTTTCTAATCTGCTCTTCTTCCAGCTTGTCCCCAAAGCACATTAAAACCAGCAAGCAAAACATGGTGTTGCTCTTGTTAGTGTTAAGGAGTTCAACCATATGGCTCGCCGGAAATGGAGTTGCTCGCCGGGGAAGAAAGGGAAAAAGTAAAATGACCAAAAAAGCCCTCATTATTTGACCTATTAAAAATTTCCGGTGAAATTTGACCGGTAATTTGACCGGAGTGACCAAAATTGAAAGAAATTGCATAGTCAAGGTACTTAATTAACATTTTTGAAAGTCAAGTGTTGCAATTAACACAACCCCAATAGTCAGTGGACCAAAATTGAAATTTTCTCTATTATAAAATAACATTTATATTGATTTATTTTTATATTTTGTAATTTTATATATATATATATATATATATATATATATATATATATATATATATATATATATATATATATATATAGAGAGAGAGAGAGAGAGAGGGGTTAAGTTTTTTCTAAATTGTAAAATAATATGAATTAAATTCATATATTTGTATACTATATTTAGCACCAGGACTATGTGGTCTAATGGTATCCGGGGTGGACTTCCAAGTGGAAGGTTGTGATTTCGAGCCTCAGTGGAGGCGTTATTGGCTCTTTGTGTTTCAGTAGCTTGAGAAAGTATATGAACAGATACTACAATGTAATAGAGCTAGTAGCATTCAAAAAAAAAAAAGTATACTATATTTAGCATTATTGTATAAACTTTTTGAATTAAATTCATATACTTTTTATACTATATACAACATTTTTTTTTTCTATATTGCATGTGAATTTGTTTTTGAAAAAGTTTGTTTTTAATTATGGTCAAATGTACGCAACACTTTTTAGAATAAGTAATCTAAGGGGATTAAAAATTTTGATTTGTGTTGTTTTTCAAAAAACAAAACAAAACAAAAAAAAAAATTGATTTGTCGAGATAATGAAAATTTATGAGTATGACTAAAAATTTCGTATACAAAGAAATTTTCAATAATGTGTAATACAATTTTAATGTTAATTATTTATTTAATAATTTTTCTCTATACAGATTTTTATTATTATTATTATTATTATTATTATTATTATTATTATTATTATTATTATTATTATCATCATCATCATCATCTATGGCCGTGCATCGCACGGGTGCAACTACTAGTATAACTAATAATGCACACACATTATTGCATTATTACATATCTCGAGTGCATTGTCATTTACTTGTACTTTCAAATGTATAGTCGTATTTTTCTTAATTTTCATCCTTTGATTATTATAAACAATGGACGGATGAGATTGATTAGTTTGCATGCACATTCTCACATGGTTATTAATTCTTATATGATCCTGATTATATATATATATATATATATATATATATATATATATATATATATATATATATATATATATAGGCGGGTTCAGGTGCGGTAGTGTCTTATGGTGCGGCGATTTCTTACGGTGCAGCAACACCAATAGTTCAACAAATATGCATCGTCATCGTTAAGAAAATACACCATACAAAACAGAGTAAACAGAGCCCTGCATCACCAAACACACACCATTAGGTGTGAGTAAAAACACCATACACTGTTCGGAAATACACCATTGGGGGTGGTGAGTTATATGGTGTATTTTTTTGAGTCTGTTGTGTATTTTGTGATGTTTTATTACATTTCATTGTGGTGTGCTTTTATTACACTGTTGGTGCATATTGTTAACACTGTTGGTGTATTCTAGAATTCCGCCGCACCGCCGCACGAGAAGACCCCGCCGCATTTGAACTTTATTATATATATATATATCAATCAGGTGTAGTAATTGGTTGCAAGTGAAAGATAGGGTTTAATTTCAACCCCTGATCTAGCTAAAATTAACAACTTCGATTGAAGAAAACTTTAAAAAAATGTGGTGGCATTATGGTAATTTTGTCTAAATTCAAAATTTAAGGTGCGTAGTTTTATAACTTAAAGGTGCGTAGTTTGATAGCTTAAGGTGTGTATGTTTAATGCTTAAGGTGCGTCACTTTCTAGTTTAAAGTGCATTGTTTTATAGCTTAAATTAAAGTGTGTATGTTTAAAACGTAAAGCACATTACCTTTCTAGTTTAATTAAGGTGCATTAGTTTAAACTTAAGGTGCGTAGTTTTATATCTTAAGGTGCATTAGTTTGAGACAATTGATCATTTACATATTTGAAGCGCATCACACACACGGGGTAAAAATATCTCAAAATTATCTGACTATTGTTTTATTAATAAGTCTTGTGTGAGATCGTTTCACTATGAGACGTGTAATACTTTTTAATTAAAAAATATTGCGTAATACTTTTAATAAGTGCACAAAAAATATTACATTTTAACTAAACAGTATTACATATACATATCATATTAGACGATGTAGCATAAAACTCACTCATGTTTTATTCATTAAACAAAGTTTGATCTCAAATTTGAACAATGAATTACTATTATATGGTGATAAATTTCTCTTGAATAATGTTTACCAACACCTTAATTTCAAATTAATTAAAACTCAACATTGATATCGAATCTCTAAAATAATTATAATTAAAAAAAAAAAATTAGGTTTCTAAAAGAACAAGAAGATAGATAGTAATAATATAGTATACATGGGGGAGATACATAACTATATGCAATCACTTTGTATGAGTATATTACAGAGTACAGAGTATATAGTATGATTTTTAATAGCACAAATCATTAAAAAAAAAAAAAATACACTAGAAGATAATTTCCCCAATTAAGCAGGTGAAACGGATATAAATCGATAGGATCCAGCTCTGATCTAAATCTATCTGTATCTTACAACGGATGACAGATGGATGAACTCTGATCTTAATCACTGTTTCCGGGAGGGTTTGGATCATGGCGGGGATTGGCGCCGGTGCCGGAATAGTCCTCTTCCTCCGCAACCATTCGTCTTCTACGTAGCCAGACCGACTCACCGTCTTCTTCCAATTCCAACTTCAGCCCCCTGACCCTCTGCGAACTCACATCCACCCTGCTCGCCTGCCGTACACGTACGATCGCCCAATTCAACTCACAAAATAAACAATAAATCAAATTCGAAGCTAGCGGAGGATATAACCATTAACCAACCTTGTCGTCTACGAAGTTGAGGACCGCTTTAGGGTTACCAATTTCTTCAACACTTGCTGCTAAACAAAAATTAATGAGAAAAGGGAAATGATCGATCACATAGGAATGAAGAATTATACAATATAATATAGGAAAATTCGATCTCGATATCAATATCAATATCATATACCTGATGCATGTGGAGTAGCAAGAGAAGAGAGAAACAGGGAGAAAGCAAGGATGGTGAGTATCAGGAGCAGCTTGCAGAGCTCCATGTATGATATATGCAACTGGCGAATGGCGATTCGATCGAGCTGGCCAGCTGAAAGGTGTAGGTAATATTTATACAGATCAAGGTAGAGAGAAAAAGTAATATAACAGCCTCATCTTTTTTTTTTTTTTTTTTTTTTTTTTGAAAAAAAAAACAAATTCTTTGATAACTGGATTTCCGTCTTTGATAAAAGGAATCTGTCTTTTGAGTCATTTTAGTTTCAAAAATCAATATCAAATTGTACACTCTCTGTATAACAAGTCTAAATACTTATGTTAAGAATCGAATTCACATTATTTTTTGAAATGATGGTAATACATTAATAAAAACAAAAAAAAAAAAAAAGATTTTTAAATTGACACTATACACTTTTATTTACTGATTATTTAACTAAGAGGGGTCATGATTTGATAATTATTTTAAAATTAATTTTTTTTAAAAATAAAATTACATTGAGGAACTAAAATATGGTGATTGTTTATCCTTATCCATATATGGTAAACAGAGTGCACGATGGCCTAACGTTGTCGAAAGGTGCTTTGTTGCCTAACTTGTTTTGTGGATATCACTACATGCGGTACCGCACTTCCGCCAATGGTATCTACAACGTTATCAAACTCGAATGATTAATTTTGTGAAATTTCTTAATTTCAAAGCATATAGGGGTCTTTTACTAACTTGGAAAAATGGAGAATTTTCTAAAAAAAGAGAAATTGAGAAGTGGAAAAAATAAAAATTGGAAAACTTATTTACCAAATATCTTCTTCCAAATGCTTACTCCATCTCCATTTTTCCACTTCATATACATTTTTGGAGAAAGAAAATTTGGACTTCTCCAAATGGAGAGATGGAGAAAATATGCGTGAATAGTAACCTTTCCAAGAGGTTGCGGGTTCAAATCCTTTATTGCGCCTTCGCCTTTGCTTCAATTGTTGCTTTCGAATCCTATACTGCGCATTTGCATTATTATTATCTTCTTTTTTTATTTTTTATTATTATTTTCCCCTTTCTTCATCCTTATGCACACATAATAATAATAAAAATATTAATATTAATATTAATAATATTATTATTATTTTTTTATTTTTTATTTTAATTTTCCCTTTACTTCATCCTTGTGAAGAATTAGAGGAATGAGGAGTGAAAATTGAAAAATTGGAGAAATGGAAAACTGGAAGAATGGAGAAAGAAAACTGGAGAAATGGAGAAATGGAAAACTGGAAATGGAAAAACAGATAAACGAAGTAAACGACCCCATAATACTTGGCTATGTTATGCGTTTAGACACCAGAAATGAGAATCAAAATTATACTTAGTATTAATTGGTTGATAATTTTTTTAAAACACAACTATAAAATTTGATTATCCATTTAATTAAAAACTACATCCCATCATATTAGTAACCTGGTTTTATGATTGGGTTACTGCCTTTAGATTTTTGTTTTGATTTTGTTTTTGTTCATGTTGGTACTTTGAATATCATTATAGGATCAATTGTCTTAATTTTAAATTTTTGTATTTTTAAAACATTTATTCCCATTATAGAGTCATAAATAACTAAACATCATCAAACATGCAAAATACTTTCACAAAAAAACTCATTATCATTACCAAGTATTTAATTCTCATTCCAATTTCAATTCTCATATGCAAACCAAACACACCATTAATTTTATTTTAATTTGTTGCAAAAGGACGGGTTCATCATTTGTATAATTGTATATATTAAAGTCTTTAATGGGGTGTTTGGTTGGATGTAGTTGCAATTTAATTACAGTCTAATTCTTTGGCCACCAAAATTACACTATTTGGTTTGAGGGAATTGCAATTCCTCATTTTAATTTTGAATTGCAATTCATACCCTCCACATATGAATTGCAATTCAATGGGAAAAGGAAAGGGAAAATAGAGGAAAATGACTTTTTTTTAGCATTGATTATTATTAGCATTATTATTACACAAGGACATTTTAGTGTTTATACCATTTATTCTCTCTTCATTCCCAATAATTCAATTCATTCTTACCAAACAATGTAATTTGAATTCCTACTTTATTCGCACATTATTTTTTTCTCACAAAATTACATAATTCCTTCCTTCCAACTAAACAATCTGTAATAGATTTCTTTAACAAAGTGAAACTAATGGTAAGCATCGAGTTTCATAATGAGCACTATTTACCGCGCGAACTCTTATGGCATGTTTGGTTCATGGAATAGGTCAGAAATGGAATAACATTCCTTGGAATAGACCTATTCCATCGTTTGGTTGGATCATTTTGTCATGAGAATAACATGCCTAGGAATGAGCTATTACCTTCGCAAGGGGAATAGCCATTCATAGGGGGGCCTTGGTATTAGCTATTCTCATGCCCTTGGGAATATCTTTTATCTCACAAATACCAAAAATACCCTTTGTACATTACATAATATTTATATTTATTTAATAAATATAATGTATTATATAAATGTATATATTTAATTAAATTATAATTTTTATCTATCAATCTATCAATAAATATATATATTTAAATAAATTATTTGTGTGTGCGTGTATGTATATATATACACACACACACACACACACACATACACACACACACACATTTTGCAGCGTTTGCAATTGACATTTTGAAAAAAGAAAAATATTTTCTCAAAACACCCTTGACATTATACATACATACATACATACATACATACATACATACATACATACATACATACATACATACATACATACATACATACATACATATATATATATATATATATATATATATATATATATATATATATATATATATATATATATATATATATATATCTACTATAGTAATAAGAGCCCAAGGGAGTTAGGCCTATAATAGGTAGAAAAAATGCCGGTCACAGATTTTAATCAAATGAATGGCTCAGATTAATTAAAAGATTGATAAGATTTAAATTTTACACTAAAATTTCCTAAAATACCCCCACACCGTTACTAATTCCGTTAAAATTTTAAGAATTGCCGTTAGTTCACCGTTAACTTACTCATTGATTTCAATAATAAAAAAAAAGGTCTTAGGTTTGAACCTCATCCCAATCAAAGTTGGCATAATTAGTACTCTATTTTACTCTTATTAAATCTATATCTATATCTATATCTATATATATCTATATATATATAAAAGTAAAATCATCCTAACAAATTTTCCCCCCAAAACTTTTGTAGTAAAACTTATTTGGTAAGTAAATGTCAAATGAAAATTAAATAAATAATAATAATAATAATAATAATAATAATAATAATAATAATAATAATAATAATAATAATAATAATAATAATAATAATAATAATGTTATTACCTTAAATAAATAAATTATTATACTTTTCCTTAAATAAATAAATTATTATACTTTCCTTTTGAATTAGTATTTTCTACCTATAAATACAAGAATTTCTTCAATCAAAGAATCTCAGACTCATCTTTCTGCTTTCTTTTTGTATGAATTTTCTACATTTTTCTAACTATATTCTCACGTACTTCAATATGTTTTGCAGTTTAGACATCATGAATAGCTTCATCAACGATATCTTCTTGAAGCTCGCCCAAGAGGTGACTCGCTTGGCCCACTACAACAAGAAGCCGATAATCACTTCCCGCGAGATCCAGGCCGGCATGAGATTGGTTCTTCCTGGCGAATTGGTAAAGCACGTTGTCTCTCTAAAAACACTAAAGCAGTCATCATATTTACAAGCTCTTAGATGAAATCATTTAAATTTATGTTTCGTTTTTATATAATCTCAATTAAGGATTAATAGATGTAAAGTAACTTGGATTTGAGTTTAATTTCATATTATTCTTCCAAAATGTTTAATTTCATATTATAAGTATTGTTATCTACATTCAACTATCAGTGAATCGATTAGCATTCTCAAAAAAAAAAAAAATTGAATGTCTATATCTACGTGCATTTAAGATGCAACATGTGTATGATTCATTAGGCTTTGAGGCAGGAGAACACATCTGGGTACATTGGTGGATCTGTATCTCATTGCAAAAAAATATTCATACAATGAATTAATTAATATAATTACAATTATCATTATTCTAATTCAAAAAAAAAAACTAAAGAATTAATTGTAATAATGAAATTTGTTATTAATATTCTGTTACTAATTGACACAGAAATCAGACTAAAAGAAAAACGAATTAATTAGTAGGACAATTATATTAGGTAATCTAATTAATAATTTACTTTTTAAATTATATTCCCTTTTTAATAATGAATATTTTCTTAAAGTATATACACAGATTATGCTTATCAATATAGAATTAAAAGTGTATAGATGTATAATATTATTAGTACAAAATCAATTATACTTGCCTTAATAATTAATTATTAATATTATTGCCTAATAATTATGTGTTGTCACCTTTTTCGGGGTAATTATTATGGTAATTTATATACACATATATTTTTATACTTAATGTATAATATTATTGGGCACAAAATAAATATACTTACCTTAATATATATTGATTATTTTTAATATAATTTCCTAATTTATTAAAGGTAATTATTCTCATAATTTTTCTTTCCTTCTTTTGTGTAATTATTATGGTAATGTATTTAAATATTGGAAGAAAAAAAAATGTTATAATAAATATAATTAATGAAATTATTATTGTAATTGCCACAATATTTGGTAATTATAAATAATATAATTAAGAAATTTGAGAAATATAAGATTTCTTCCGTAGAAATATTTGTGGCAATTTCATTAAATTATAATTAATAAAATATGAAATATAATTAAAGAAATGAAATTATAAAATTAACAAAACATGAATATTTATATATATATATATATATATATATATATATATATATATATATATATATATATATATTTAAATATACATACATACACTTTTTAAATTTCTAAATATAATTTTTTAAGTATAAATCTATTAATATAAATTAAAATTAATGAAATTATATTATAATTTTCCTATATACATATTAATAAATATTATGTGTATATACAATGTATTATACAATCATATAAGGATATGCGTCCGATTAGAGTTTATATTTGTTCATACAAAATTTAGAATTTACATTTTTATTGATTTCTAAGTACAATTCTCTTAGTTATTATTATTCATATTTTTAGAATTAATAATATATATATATATATATATATATATATATATATATATATATATATATATATATATATATAATACAATTTGGAATAAATCAATTTAATTATATGAATTTTTTCTATAAATTTATCTAAATATGTACATGATTAGAGATTATATTAACCATACAAAATTTAAATTTAAATTTTGTATGTTATGAAAATAGATACTTGACCAAATATATAAAATTCCAACTATATTATTATATTGTACATTTTAATATTTTTTTATTTTTTATTTTAATTTTAAATTCATAAAAACAAAAAAAAAACAAAAAAAAAAAAAAATTCCACGGGTAAAACACTACATTTAAAAAAAATACAATTTCATAAATATCATAAATTAATTAATACAATATCATTTATATTTATAACAATTAAAGAAAAAATAAATAATTTCAAATATATGAACCAATGATTTCAAAATGAAATTAATATACAGTTACAAATAAATATAGCATGATTAGATTTACTTTAATTAGTTTTAATTCCCTTAATGATATGACTTTTCTTTATCAGTTTTTTGAGGGAGACTAAGGGAGTGTTTGAGTTGCTGGAAATTATTATTATTTTTTGAATACTTACTAATAAAAAAAATTAAAATATTTTTTACCCCCCTCCCCTCCCCCCAATAACATGTGTAAATTTTATATTTTTTAAAATTACAATTTGATAAATATTATAAATTAATTAGTAGAATATCATATCTGTTTATAAATTATAATAATTAAAAAAAATTCATATATGTGAACCAATGATTTAAAAATGAAATTAATATACAGTTACAAATAAATATAGCATGATTTGATTTACTTTAATTAATTTTAATTTCCTTAATGAAATGGCTTTTCTTTTATCAGTTTTTTATGGGAGGCTAATGGAGTTGCTATAAAATATTTTAAAATAAAAATTCATACTAATAAAAAATCATTTTAAAATATTTTTTTAACCCCTCATAACATGTGTAAATCTTATATTTTTTAAAAATACAATTTGATAAATATCATAAATTAATTAGTACAATATCATTTCTGTTTATAATAATTATAGAAAAAATAAATAATTGAAATATGTGAACCAATTATATCACAATAAATCTTTCAAAATTTAAAACAAAAGAACGGAAATTAAAAATAGAACGAAAATATTTCAATAATAATATTCTACATCATCAAGTAAAAGTAAATTAAAAATGAAAAGATAATATTTCAATAATAATATTCTACATCATCAATAGTAAAGGCATATTTTAAACAATAGTAAAGGTAAATTAAAAATGGAACGGAAATATTTCAATAATAATATTCTACATCACCAATTAAAAATAAAACTGAAATTAGGTAAAAATACCATTGCATATGATATTCTAATTGATTAATTGAAAGAAAATAAAAAGAATAATTGGTTGAAAATGAATATGATATTACTAATTGACTGATATTTTACGATGATATATTTTCACCCCGAGTCACCCATTCTAATGGACTGAAGATGTTAGCTATAGACGATGACGGACAAGATTATGTTGCTACTATCAATGTCGTCTACAATCAGTGGCGGACCCAGAAATTCTTTTCAGTGGGGGCAAAACACATTAAAACAAAATAGATAGTTTGATTTAAAAAAAAAAACATTTAAAAGTATAGCGATAAATATTGTTGGATGTGGACGAAAAATAAAACACATCAAAATTTTATAAAAAATATGAAACATAATTAATTTGATAAAATAATTCGAATAAAAAAATACATTATAAACACATCTCATTATTGGTATGAAAGAAAGTTATATACATATATATATGTAAATCTCACAATTAATTAATACGAAGTGTTTAAAAGTCATAGAAAATAATTAATTATAACTTGAACAATTTGCTGCCAAAGTAACAAGGGACAATGCTGCTGTGACAAATCTGACAAAGATAACGCGCGCCTTACCACCTGATCTACTCATCCTTTATTGATTTTAATCTATTTTATTATATTTATACTAAAACTTGTACTATATATACATATATACATACAAGGGTTATATATGTGGTGGAGGTGGCGTGAGGGGGGGCAGCTGACCCCACTGCCCCCATGCTGGGTCCGCCTCTGTCTACAATATGAGGTTTTAATAATGTGTAAATACAATTGGTGATATTATGTTTTTTTTTTAATGACAAAATTGCTATATATCTACACACAAAAAAAAAAAAAAAAAAATTAAAGCAATTTAGACAAAAAAATATATATATTTTTCATACAAATGAATTAGGATAGCAATTCATTCCTATAACTGAGTTGCTAAAGAATGAGCACGTTTGCCTAATTTATAAAAATACTAAACAATGATAAATAAAAGCTTCAAAGTTACAACACTGCATGCGTATATCTACACATTAGCTATTAATTTGAGCAATTATTTGTTTAAATTCAAGCAACGATAACATCAAAACATATAAACAATCCAAACTATATCTTCAATTGCACTATATAATATTTAATGTTCTAATTTAAATAATTATATATCAATCCAGATATTCTTAATATATTACAACAAATTCACGGGCGAAACCATATCTTTAATTGCACTATATAATATTTGAGTTATTACTGAAAAAATCAGTCTTTAATCACGGTTAATTGTATGTTACTTTTTTCCGAGTCACCCATCCTGATAGTCTGATAGTTTTAACTTTAGACGATGATGGACAAAATTCTGTTACTACTACCAATGTCGTCTAGCTATAAAGAGATTTTCAATAATGTATAATTTAAGCCATTGATATTATGTTTTTTTTTTTATATACAAAAATGACAAAATTGCTATATAGCTGATCTACATAGAAAATATATCTTCCGTATAAATAATTTATATAACTGAGTTGCTAGATAACGAGCTAATTAGCCCAATTAATACAAATTATAAACACTGATATATAAAATCTCTAAAGTTGCAACACCGAATGCGTATATCTACACGTTAGCTATTAATTGGGCAATTATTTATTTGAATTCAAGCATTGATAACATCAGAAAACATAATCGGTGTAACTCAATTCTTCAATTATATTATATAATATTCGATTTTATAATTTATACAATTGTATATCGATATAAATATTTTTAAAATTTTATAACAAATTCATTCCGTGCAACGCACGGGCGCAAATAATAGTCTATATCTATATTCTATATATATATATATATATATATATATATATATATATATATATATATATATATATATATATATATATATATATATATAAGTAAAATTCTCCTTCCTAAATTTTCCCCCCAAAACTTAAGGGCATTTGTGTAATATTCAAATTTAATTAATTATATATACTTAAAAGGCAATTTAATAATATCAATATTATAAATTAATTAGGAATAAGATTAATTAGGAATATTAATATAATGTCTTGATTATGAATATGAATATAATGAATTGATTATGGCAATACCTTAAATAAATAAACACACTTTCTTTTTGAAAAATTTTACAATTTTATAATTCTTATATTTTTCACCTATAAATACAATGAGTTTATACCTAAAAAAAATTATAAGTCTTCATTTTACATTGCATCACTCTTTTCCCTTGCAGGTGACTCTCTCATCACCGATTTATCAATGTAATATTAAAGGTACAATTTCTCTTCTAGCTATTTCTATCTTTAATTTCTCCGGGTTAATGCCACTCTAGACCAGTTGTAGTTGCTCTGACTAAGCCCAGGCACCGGTGTCGGGAAACCAGCCGCCGGATCCTCCCGAGACACCATCATCGGCGGTCACCGCAACGTGGGCCTGCGGCTGTGACTGCCCGGTATACCGCTGGTAGCATGTCACGGCCGTATGCCCCTGATTTCGGCAGATTTGGCAGCGTGGGAGATTGTTCCGGCCACGTCCACGGTTACCTCCTCGTCCGCGGTTACCATTGCCCCGGCTCTGGCCATTGCCGGAGCTTCGTCCGCCACCATTGTGCCTGCCCCGCCCCGCATAGTTCGCGACTGGAGCAGCACCGAAGCCGACGTCAGATCCCGCCGGAAAATCTTCGGAATGAATGAACTCCTGGGCTTGCAAGTGATCGGATATTTGGGAGATCGTCACTGGAGTCCCGGCCGCTGCAAGAGACGACGCCATCGCCCTGTACTCCGGACGCAGACCCCTAAAAACGAACAAGTTTTGTTCGTCGAGTGAAATAGGTCTGCCGGCCAACGCTATATTTTCGACCAATAATTGAGTGCGGCCTAGGTATTCGGTGACGGAGCTGTTCCCTTGGCGAAGAGAGTGGAACTGGCCGAGAAGACTCAGGCACCAAGCGCGGGTGGAGCTGCTCAGGGCTGTGGTGATCGATTCCCATACCTCTCGGGAAGTGCCATGGTCGACCGCTAAATGCATAACTTCATCTGATAACGAAGAGATGAGTAATGACATTATGGACCGGTCCTGTTTTACCCATGCTTTGTATGCAGGGTTCGGGACCAGTGATGGAGTGGTGGTGGCGGATGCTGACTCGCCGGAGGCCGGAGCCGCATCAATGACCGGTGGTGGACACGGGATTTCGCCATCCACGTACCCTAAGAGATCCTGACCGCGGAGAAAAGGCAATATTTGCGTCCTCCAAAACAGGAAATTGTGCATCGTTAGCTTCAGGGAGACGAAGTAGTGCGCACCCGACATGGGGTTGGCGGTGGCGGCCGGCACGGCGGAAGGGGCGGCAGTGACTGTTCTTTCTGAAGAATTCGTGGACATATTTAGTGAGGGACGGAGGGGGTACGGTGTTGGTGGAGGTGAGAATTGGAGATAGAACGGATCCTGGTCTGCTGATACCAGATGAGAAGATGATCGTTCATTCAACTGAAAGAGGTTACAACTGAAACACTTAATAGTAGAGAGATAATCGTAAACTACTCCTACACAATAGGCTAGTCAATCTGTAATTAACTTATTGACTAATTCTAATACAAAACTAATAACAATAAAGATAATAATAATAACATGGCTTAATAGATATCACTATATTTTATCAGGAAGAGAGATTTTTTAGGAATTGGGCGGGAAGTTAAAATTGCAGGATTTTATTTTTATATATAGTATAGATGTATAGATAGATAGATTACAATAGGAATTGTATTACAGTATTTTATAATATTAGAATAGAATTTTAACCCAGAATTATTGTACGAATAGGAAAGTAGAAATCAATATATTTTATCAGGAAGAGAGATTTTTTAGGAATTGGCCGGGAAGTTAAAATTGCAGGATTTTGTTTTTATATATAGTATAGATGTATAGATAGATAGATAGATTACAATAGGAATTGTATTACAGTCTTTTATGATATTAGAATAGAATTTTAACCCAGAATTATTGTACGAATAGGAAAGTAGAATTCAATATATTTTATTACGAAGAGAGATTTTTTAAGAATTGGGCGGGAAGTTAGAATTGCAGGATTTTGTTTTTATATATAGTATAGATAGATGTATAGATAGATAGATAGATAGATTACTATAGGAATTGTATTACAGTATTTTATAATATTAGAATAGAATTTTAACCCAGAATTATTGTACGAATAGGAAAGTAGAAATCAATATATTTTATCAGTAAGAGAGATTTTTTAGGAATTGGGTGGGAAGTTAAAATTGCAGGATTTTGTTTTTATATATAGTATAGATTATAGATATAGATGTATAGATAGATAGATAGATTACAATAGGAATTGTATTACAGTATTTTATAATATTAGAATAGAATTTTAACCCAGAATTATTGTACGAATAGGAAAGTAGATATCACTATATTTTATCAGGAAGAGAGATTTTTTATGAATTGGGCGGGAAGTTAAAATTGCAGGATTTTATTTTTATATATAATATAGATGTATAGATAGATAGATAGATTACATTAGGAATTGTATTACAGTATTTTATAATATTAGAATAGAATTTTAACCCAGAATTATTGTACGAATAGGAAAGTAGAAATCAATATATTTTATCAAGGAAGAGAGATTTTTTAGGAGTTAGGCCGGAAGTTAAAATTGCAGGATTTTGTTTTTATATATAGTATAGATAGATAGATAGATAGATTACAATAGGAATTGTATTACAGTATTTTATAATATTAGAATAGAATTTTAACCCAAAATTATTGTACGAATATGAAAGTAGAAATCAATATATTTTATCAAGGAAGAGAGATTTTTTAGGAATTGGGCGGGAAGTTAAAATTGCAGGATTTTGTTTTTATATATAGTATAGATTATAGATAGATAGATTACAATAGGAATTGTATTACAGTACTTTATAATATTAGAATAGAATTTTAACCCAGAATTATTGTACGAATAGGAAAGTAGATATCACTATATTTTATCAGGAAGAGAGATTTTTTAGGAATTGGGCGGGAAGTTAAAATTGCAGGATTTTGTTTTTATATATAGTATAGATGTATAGATAGATAGATTGATTACAATAGGAATTGTATTACAGTATTTTATAATATTAGAATAGAATTTTAACCCAGAATTATTGTACGAATAGAAAAGTAGAAATCAATATATTTTATCAGGTAGAGAGATTTTTTAGAAATTGGGCGGGAAGTTAAAATTGCATGATTTTGTTTTTATATATAATATAGATATAGATGTATAGATAGATAGATAGATGACAATAGGAATTATATTACAGTATTTTATAATATTAGAATAGAATTTTAACCCAGAATTATTGTACGAATAGGAAAGTAGATATCACTATATTTTATCAGTAAGAGAGATTTTTTAGGAAGGCGGGAAGTTAAAATTGCAGGATTTTGTTTTTATATATAGTATAGATGTATAGATAGATAGATAGATTACAATAGGAATTGTATTGCAGTATTTTATAATATTAGAATAGAATTTTAACCCAGAGTAAGTAATAACTTAATTTATAAGGAATTAATTTACTTACCAAAGATTAATTTTAAATTTTTAATTTTTAATTTTTAATTTTTAATTCCCTATTATGCTAAACGTTATTATGTTGTTATTATACTAAACATATAATATAATTTTTCAAGAATATTTTTACTATGTTGTTAAGAGCTGTGAAGATTGATAGTCTGGGTTGAGTCTAACAAAGTTTTTACTGGACAGAAGAATGATTTTTTTTTTTCCATGGCTTTATTATAATAATAATAAAGGAAAAAAAAATGATTGAAGTCAAAATATCATTTGTATTTTCTTAATACTCCGTAATATATAATAAGTTTTAATTCAAATTCTATTCAAATTACGTTAGTATAATTTTAATTCAGTAATAAATTGCATCCGTTTTTAAGTATATATATATATATATATATATATATATATATATATATATATATATATATATATATGATTTCTCATTTGTATTTTCGTATGGATGGAATAAAAAAGGAATGTTGAAATTTTAGGAAATAAAATATTAACAGGAAAGTAATGAAAATTAGTATTGAGGAAATATTAAATATTTAATAATTTTATAATTAATTATTTATATAAACATTTGTTGACCTACTTGCATATAGAGGGCAAATTTTTTATTTTTCCTTTTGTATTTCAGTATACATGCAAGAAAAAATGTTAGGAAGACAATTTGAAGGAAAAATGATATTTAAAATCTTAGAAATTAATTTTGAAAGAAAAATGAATGAAAATCTATATTGAGGTAATATTTAAAATTTAATAATTTTATAATTAATTATACAATTAATTACCAAAATGGTCCCTTGACTATAATGAAATTACCAATTTTGTCCTCGACTATATACATAGTGTATATATAAATTGCACGAAAATTATAAAACTAATCAAATGTTAATGTTAAAAATAATAATAAGAATTTTAAAATTAGAATTATAAATTAGGTATTAGGGTAATAATTAATCTATATATATCATATTATTATTATTGTTATTATTATTATTAGTATTAATAATAATAATAATAATAATAATAATAATAATAATATTATTATTATTATTATAAAAACAAAATCATCGCATTTTATTTTCCTGCCCAAACTTTTGTAGTAAAGCTTATTTGGTAAGTAAATGTCAAATGCAAATTAAATAAAATCTAATAATTGATAATATTGCATAATTTGTAATATTATGTATGGTATTATAATCTATAATATAATTGATAATATTATTGTTCAAGTATAATAAAAACACTAATGTAATACTGTAATAAAATAAAATAAAATAAAATTAAAATAACAAAAACAACAACAACAACAACTAATAATAATAATAATAATAATAATAATAATAATAATAATAATAATAATAATAATAATCCAAACAAAACAATATACAAAATAAAATTAAAATTAAAAAAAAATAACAAGAAGACAAAGGTGGCTCCCCTTTGTAAATGATACGGGATCATTTTGATCCCTCATTGAAAATGTCTGGAAAGAGGAGCTCTTGAGCTCCTCTATATACGAGGAGCAATGCTCCTCTTACAAACCTATAATTGTTTGCCCATCAATGTGAGCAAATATTGAGAAGTCCAAAGGTTTTCTTTTTAGTACTATTGACCCGACAAATTATGCTGTGGAACTGTGTCCACCTTGCAAGGTAGACACGGTTCAAAAATTGTTCATAATTATAAATATATAGTTCAAAATTATGAACATATAGTTCTATAATTATGAACATGGTGTTGTGAACATAATTTTGAACATATAGTTATGTAATTATGAATATAGAGATTCAATAATTGTGAATATGAAGTTCAAAAATTATGAATATATATCTTTATAATTATGAATATATAGTTTGGTAACTATAAACATAGAGTTCTGAATTATGAATATATAGTTCAATAATTATAAATATGAAGTTCAAAGATTATGAATATATAGTTTCATAATAATGAACATACAGTTCAGTAATTATGAACATAGAACTGTATTCACCTTGCAAGGTGGACATAGTTCCACAGCATAATTATTCGATTGACCCTGTTATATGTAAACTTTCTCAACCTGATAAAGCCCAACGTGTCAAAACTCTCTTATTTAAGAAATCTTATCTTAATGGCTTCCTATTTTAGTTTTTTTTTTTTTTTTTTTTTTTTTTTTTTTTTTTACATTTTTTAAAATTATTTTTAATTTATTAGGGGGTTTGAAAAAGATTAACCAAAAATGTATATGAGTTGTTTTAGTTTTTAGCAATTTGGAGTAAATTGCTAAGTTATTAAATAATATTTTTGGTGTTTTGATTAAATATAAAATGTTAAACAAACGAATTTCTTAAAATTTTGACGAATTTGCAAAATAATCAAATTACAATAACAACAACAACAACAAAAGCAATAATAATAATAATAATAATAATAATAATAATAATAATAATAATAATAATAATAATAATAATAATAATAATAATAATAATAATAATAATAATCCAAACAAAACTATATAAAAAATAATTTTTTTTTTTTAAAAAAAAAAAGACAAATGAGAGTCACGAGCTTCCTTTGTAAATGATATGCGATCATTTTGACCCCACATTGAAAATGTTTGAAAAGATAGAGCTCCTCTATATAAGATGAGCAATGATCCTCTTTACAAATATAATTGCTTGCCCATAAATGTGGGCAAGTATTGAGAAGTCAAAAGGTTCTTATTTAAGAAGCCTTAACTTTGTCTTTTTATTTTAGTTTTTATTTATTTATTATTTACTATTTATTTATTTATTATTAGTGGGGGTTG